ATTATTAATGTAATGACAGTAAACTCATTGTTTAAATAAAGTCTCGCATTTAATGCCTGTTTGCAATTTAAAAAAAATAAAAATAAAAATAACATATATATATATATATTTTTTAAAAAAATTACTATTGGCCCAATAGTATAATTATAGACAGGTTCTACTGTATTTATAGATTGTTTATATAATAAAGAATATTTATTTAAAAGATATTCTTTTACCTTTGTAATATTTCAGATTATATTTTTGTTTTTAAGTTAATAAAATAATTATTTCTTTTAAATTTGTATTTTTTTATAATTTTTTTTCTTGACTAAATATAACTTATTGTTTAAACTATTACAATAAATTTAAACTCTTACATATCAATTTTTTTTAACAAGTTCTATTTTAATAATTAAATATAATATCTGACTTATAGATCAATAGTATAATAGATAATAATTCAGATCACCAAATACATGTTCCTAGTTCAATATTTATAGAAGGTAAAACATGAAAAATATTTTTCATATATGGGTTTATTGAATATTTTGTCTATATTATATTTAATTATTCTTAAAAATTCTTCATATATAGATTTACTAATTGTTTTATATATGTTATACTCAATTATTCAGATCTTAGCCAAATTTAGTTAGGTTATATAAATGTGAAACCTTTGGTTTTTTTAATAATGATAAACTAAAAACAGATTAAAACAAAAAAGACTATATAAAAAAAATTTCTTATTTAATTTCAATATGAGCTTACAACCTTAACTGGTATAAAAACTCTATAGTACTATTTTTTCTATTTGAATTGGCTAGCTTCCCAAATAAATCATATCTAATTAACTAGTATTTCAAACTGAATCAGCAGATTTTGAACTTGATTAAATTCCTACTATTTTATTTGATGTTGGTACAATATAAATTGATAATTTCTTTATAGAAAAGTGTTAAATTATAAGTTTAAAAAAAAACCATTGGAAAGATTTTTTAACTTTTGAACAAAATTTTTTTATAAGTAGAAAGATATAATATAGCCTAAATATAGATTCTTACATATAGTATAGATTGATATTATAATAAAATAGGGCAGGTAGTATTAGTTAAGATTAGCAATAGTTAATAAACTATTCATATAATATATATATAAACAATTTGATATTAATAAATTTTATTTAACATATATTACATTATTTAAATATACCCAGTGGGGTTATAGTATAGTAGTAAATTATTGATATATCAGTACTAGTGTTACCGGTTCAATTCCAAGTGCTGGCAGCAGACTGTAAACCTATTCCAATGAGCTAATTATTACCAAATGATAACCATCACATGCATTATAAATACTTACTAGCTGACCTGGGTTCTAAGAGTCAGAAAAGTTGAAAACAATATATAGAATTGGTAAGTATCAGTTGTCTGACTACCAGATAAATAGATAATCGATATAAGAGTAACCGCATGTGATGAACCTGAAAGCAATGGGCGTCGCGTGCAAGAAAAATAGCGGAGCTGGATGGCCAAAAATAGTGAGTTAGATAATTTTCCCACCTCATGTGTGTACTATATTGTATCAATAAAGTAATTGATCTTTCTTTCTTCCGATAATTGATTTTTATACGTGGTAATGAGGTATTTTTATTAATAAAAGCAATAAACCATTTCGAAATTAACTTGGGATGTTTGAAGAACAATACTGTGTCACATTCCCTGAGGTCAAGGTACCCCTAATAATCAAAATAAACATAACAAATTTGTTAATATCAGGACCCACGAAAAGTTCATTAAATGATGGAAAGTATCAGAAACTGAATTTTTTTTACTCTTAATTTTTGTAGTATTTTTATCAGATCTGAGAAGTTGTCAATTTACGCCTGCTCCACTTTGTTATTAAGTCTTTCTTCAGGTAAAAAACAATCTATGGAGATTAGCAAGTGTTTCCTTCACAGAAGCCTTATTTATCATATTTAATATTTGTTATAATGATTAGGAAATATACATTCAGCACGGATCCTCTATTTCGATCAAATTCATTAAAGTCATGAAATGAAACCTCTATATTTCAAGGCTATAAGCTTCTCATAAAGAAAACTTAACACTATCATCTTAGTAATGCACGATTATATGCGTGATGTATATCCCATAAATCTATGAAAAAACAATCAGGTGTTCCATTTGGTGCGCCAGTAGGAACATCGTCAAAAAAAGTAAGTCGGTAGTAATAGCGAGTTGAGAGTCTGGCAAATTACAGTAGAACCATCGCAAGCAACTTGTCCACATCCAACGCCAGTAATATTGTTAGCCGGAAAATTCGGAATATTAAAAGGAAACCTTGTTGTGGAGATATGGAGATTTGCAGTCCCAAAGGACTTTGCGATATAAGGTACAGTCGGATTTGCTTGGGCAATGCAAATGTGCGATATTTGAATATTGGTGCGTGGAGAAAAATATCCTGTTGCCAGTTCATGCAAACTGTTTAAGCTCTCTGTGCCACCAATTTCTATGACCATAGTTGAGTTAGCCCTTGCACTGACTGCCTGCCTTTGTGGAGGTTGTCGGCGTTGTTGCGGTTGAATACAAGCATCAGGACAACACACATCTCTCGTGTTTACAATGATATCCGTTTCGCCCATAACATCGAGTTCGTGAGTATTCCAGTTATACATCTTATAAAATAATACTTCTTGTACCAATGATGAGGATTTAGAGGTATCTCTTAGGCTATGAGCTTCCCATCAACGAACCGGTGTTTAACAGAAACCTTTTGTTCTCCGTCACAAAATGCAAGATAAGTTTTGCGCGATACATTATTTGCCACAACGATTCCTTGTCAATAAACTTCATCCGTTTCATCTTGTCGCTGAATGACCATAAGGTGGCCCCTTGCTTTATCAAAATCCCACGAGCTTCATAAATGAGACGAATCTGTATTCTTAGTTTGTCTTGACAGATTCAGAATATAAGAAAGGTGAATGATAAAACGACATCGAGACCGTTTTTTTTGGTTTTGTCAATTCGTGGTGTCATACAAACCCATTAAAAGATTTATCCATTGTTCGAGTTACGTTTTCTTTATTATGTCACATACAAATCAGCAAAGGTTCAAAAAATCGAGAGAAAAATAAACTTCTACCGTTCTTTCGTTGGTTAGTGACTTGCGTAAGTTGAAAAATTAATGTTTACAGTGTCACAAATTTATGTATTGCCAACGATACCACCCAGTATATGCCTGAAATTCTTGACATAGAGTCTGGGACTAGAATGTTAGGGCGACACTTAACCTTGCCCGGGTGATCGTCATATACTGTATATGTCTCCTACCGATTACTGTATCAATCTCTTCCCACGCGAATTACATTTTTTGTAACAGTGAATCGTGGTGGAGAAACTCTATCTGATTGAATGAAACGGACTTGGGATTGGTTAATAAACTCTATAAACAATTAATCATCTGATTGATGGAATTACAGTAAGTGGTACATTATTGCTAAAAAGTCTATATAAAGGTGATTTTGATCTGTAAGTAAGTATAGCAA